TGAATTTTTTAAAGTAAGTGTCTGACAATTGGTCACAAGCTTCCAATTTGAAAAACACATATATTTTGAGATATTTATGAATTCCAGAACATCCACTTTGTGCTCTGCCTTAACATTTTTAAACTAGAAAAAAAAGGCCTTGCATGATTTAAATGCATTATTGGGAAAGCCAATAAGTTTTGATAAAAATGTCATTTATCAAGTAGAAATACTAAAATTGATGACATTCAAGAGGATTTATATATACACATATCAAAAAAACACAGGGCCATTTCCAGCATAACTTAAATCACCCCTGATAATTATGAAACAAGATATTTATAAAACAATTTATGAAATGGAAAATAATATTTTCTCAGTTTACTTAGATAATATTTTACCTTATACCAAATAGAATTTGAGATAACTTGAATATTAGTTTAGTACATTAAAAGATTAACACTTTAATATATAGACACAAACATATGCAAACTTTTGTTGTAAATGTGTTTTTCCAAGAAATCTGATTATCCCACTACCCTCTTAGTCAAATTTTATTATAATTTGAAAATGCTTTGATATTTAATTTCATACATATAATGACTGTAATTTTTAAAGCATACTCAAATTACAAAATAAAATCAAACCACTAAGATGTCTTCTATAATAAGCACAGTTCATCACATATGATGAACACAAAAGCATGAATCTTAGAGATTCCTAGATAAATTTACCTTCCAAACCTATATACCAGCATTTTTCCAAAATTTTTATTTTGGATATTCTAAGACTATTTCAGCCAGATATTAACAGATAATAAGTGGAGAAAAAAGATGAGTGTCAGTTGTCAAATGATTATCCTTTACTGCAGGTTTTTGAGGATCTAGTGTATGTAAATTTTTACTGTGAATCAGAGGGGGAGAGAAAGGGTGGAGATTGAACAAAAATCTGCTTTGTCACTTTCACTTATTTTCCTTTTATAGCGTATAGCATAGGATATCAGAATTGAAAGAAAGTTTAGAAATTATGTGGTCCATTCCTCAACCAACAAACAGCACTTCTACCAGCATTGATTGATTCCTCTAAGTTGTTTTTCCATTCCAAGGAAGAAAAAAAACTAAGTTTGGTTGAAACCAAAATATTATTTTTGGGTTATTTTCCTTAGATAGAGCAAAGGACTGGCAAAGAAAAATCAATTTGCTGGTGAAGAATCGTCTACAATGGATCTCCTTATCAATGGGAGACTTTCTTCTCTAGGGATATCATTTCTTATGGAATGTTTTCTTTATGGAAACAGGTTATACAAATGTAGAAAAGGTATTCCTTTTGCATCAGATGACTTCATTTGAGTCAGACTCATCTGACTTCTTATGAATCATAATTTTGAAGAGAGGCCTGTTTGATTATTATCCCAAGGATTATTCTCCTAGAAGAATTTAAAACTATAAGTTAAAAGGACATTTACTCAAGTTTGTTGACTAAATTAATCCATTCAGATTTCATTAGTTAAGTCTTTAATCAAGAATTTTTTCCATTTAGAGACCATCCATAGGTGATGATTGGGTCTGGAGATGAGAGATTTGTTGGAGATCAGAGATTGTAATTTAATTGATAATCTATTAATATTTAAATGGCATATCACTCTATTGGCATCTTTGGTTACAGCAAATACAGATTAATATTCTCCTTAGACTTCTCAATGTTCTGTTAAATATAAACTGTGTTACACAAATTTTATTCTACATAATTTTTAAAGCATTAGTAAAGAGAAAGGCACTTTCACAAGCAATATTAAACCAATATGCCAAAAGCCAAATCCAACCGGCTGCCTGTTTTGTAAATAAAGTTTACTGGAACACAAGTCACACTTATTTGTGTATGCATTGTCTACAGTTGCTTTCATGCTATAGTGGCAGAGTTGTGGCAGAGTAACAGTTTGCATGTGGTCCACAAAGTCTACTATATTTATTATTGGGCCCTTTGCAAAAAAAGTTTGCCAACTACTACTAGTGTATCACATTACTACTACCTAGTAAGCAGAAAGAATTTAATGTAGTTTCCAAAGGAGGTTGCCATCCAGACAGTAGTCTAAATATTAGAAAATGCATATGTTTCTATGTGTATATACCCATATATCTATATATGTGTTCAAACTTCCTTGTCACTTGGTGCTATTCATATTTAATATACTATTTTGCTACTGTAATATCAACATGACTTTTTTTAGAAACTTCCCAAATACTCAGTTTAGCTAATATTAGTACCCATATTTTTTGATGCTGGGCTGATTTTTTTTGTTGTTCACTTGCCTTTGGAGAAAATAAACTTGTTGACCTAAGAATATCTCTTGAGGTACAAACAATCCAAAGTTATATTTTAATAGACTAATAGATACTTATACTTGACTATATCTCACATTTGTATCATGGAGGCATTCACCTGGCTTTTGTATGTCATTCAATTTATATTAACGTGTGAATATTCCTCAGTTTAAAATTTGGCATACCGTCAATTAGTCAAATTATTATTAAAATGTGACTAGTACAAGGAACAGATTGTCTCACTTTATTGAATAGTTGATTTAAATTTGCTGGTATATTTAAAGGTCGTGTAGTGTAAGCTCTTTATATGTACTTTTATCCAAGATTTTCTTACTTCTTTTTGAAATGCTTTCTTCCCTTTTCATCTTATTTTAATTAACCAGTTTTAATTAACCACTTATAATTTGTTACTAACCAGAATTATCTGATATGCAGTGAGATTTTTGCAATTAAGAGAGTAATATTTAAAAATTAAAACATCAAAAATTAAAACATTGGCTCAGGCCGGGCGCGGTGCTCACGCCTAGCACTCTGGGAGGCTGAGGCGGGCGGATCGTTTGAGCTCAGGAGTTTGAAACCAGCCTGAGCAAGAGCGAGACCCCGTCTCTACTAAAA